TCACCCGTATGAGAGAGTAAATTCTCCCGCTCAACTATTAGTCCATTTATCTTGTTATACCTAAACACACTACATATGAGAGAGAAAATTCTCTCTCTCTCTCAATTCATAGTCCGCTTATCTTATATGCCTAAAACACTACGTATGAGATAGAAAATTTTCATGCTCAATTATTAGTCCATTTATCTTCTTATACCTAAAAGCACTATATATGAGAAAGAAAATTCTCCCGTTCAATTATTAGTCCGCTTATATTATACTACCACCGTCCCATAAAATTCTTCTCACTTTGACTTGGCACGGAGACTAAGAAAGTGGAAATGTATGGTTGCGGTTGTGTAAGAAAAAGCTAAGATGAAATGAATGTGAACCACACAAATTGTCCAAAAATGGTAAGTGAGAAGAATTTTTTGGGACCGGCATTTGCATGTGTCCCGGGGCCATATATACTCCATCACCCCCCCCCCCCCCCATACCCCATAATTATTAGTCCACTTATCTAGTTTACCTAAAGCAACTACATATAAGAGGAAGTTTTTCCCGTTCAAATATTAGTCCATTTATCTTCGATTCTAGGAATAAAAGGAGTATACTCCTCATGTGAATAAAAGGAGTATACCCCTCATGTGAAAATTTGGGTTACTTTTAATCCCATTTAGGACTAATAGCGGTTAGTCTAATGAAAGTTAACTTTACTTTAGTTTCGAAATGACTGCAATAGCTTGAATTGCTTAAATTGTTAAAGTGAGACTGTTTGGTTATATTTTGGGTGAAGTGGCTGATTGAATGTATATTTACCAACAATCCAAAGGTATTTGCTTATTTGTACGGAGTATTTTAAATATATGTATGTTAACTTTGCTAGTAAAATCTTTTTTACAAAAATGATATTAAAAATTACACTTTGATTCACAAGCTCACATGTAAATAAATAAATAAATAAATAAATAAATAATGGATGATGGAGTATGCATGTAGTGCCTAATTATTAACAACGTGTTTTGTTAATTATAAAAAAATGTTACAGCGGTATGCAATTATTAGATGTTTGGTTTTTTAAATTTTACGCCGGTCATCAGATATATCAAGTAATTTTAATATTAATGGGCCCTCAGTATCCAATTCTCAAAAGAAAAACATCAGTCATGAAAGAGTTTACGCAGCTAGGAAGAAGATGACTAGTTATATCATATATGTAGAAAACAGTCCGAGAAGGATAAATATGTATTTTAATAGGTTAATGGTATAATACTCCCTCAGTTCTCTAATAGATGGGAGTATAGCCTTTGGCACAAGATTTAAGAAGGAATTAATAGGGGTAGGATAAAAGGTGTAGTGGATTGTGTGTAAAGGTAAAAGTAGGAAAGAGAATGGAAAAGTAAGAAAGAGAATGAGAGTAAATGAGTATATTTATTGAAAAAACTTACCAAAAGTGGAAAGGAAAACAACTAATAGAGAACGTCTCAAAATGAAAAGAGGACCAAGTATTAGATAACGGAGGGAGTAATACGGAATAGAATATAGCCAAAAAAGTAGGTGTTGGGTTACTTTTTGAGTTGATGATAAAAATCAGCCAAATCAGCCCATTAAAGGGTGTTAGGTGATTTTTTTGTATATTCAGGCTTATAAGCCAATATTTGATCCTCTAAATGGCCACTTGGTCTGCATCTTTATAATTGGACTTTGATTTTTTGCTTTGATCTTATATGATCCGATCTGATTGATATAAATTTAGTCAGGTTTGATCTGAACCTGTCTGGTTTCACTTAATCAAGGAAATGTCTGTTCCACATTAATTCACCATTGTCAAAATCTGATCTGAGACTTCAACCAGTCCAATTAAAAGATCCTAAATAGACAAGTTTAACATTATCTATTAATATTTTCAAGGCGAATTATCGCTAACCACTTAAAGTTCATTGTATCATCACTTACACTCTTGCACTGTAAAAAAAATAAAGTATGCTCTTACCCTCTCCCCATCCTTTATTAGTGTTATACTCCCTCGGTCCCATTGGATTTTGCCAACTTTTCTTTTTTGATTATTCCAAAAACTTTGCCACTTTCCTATTAAAGCAACTAATTTGTGGTTTTGCACATTTCTCTCTCATCTGCAAAAATCTCAACCACACAGTTTTTACTATTCTTATTTCTCACCTAATTTGCACTTGGCAAAGTCCACCGGGACAAAGGTAGTATAACTTTCTAATTTACATTTAAATAAATTAAAATAAGAGATTCAAGGTGTTTTTAATTGGAGCAAATCAGACCAAACCAAACTGACCAGACTTTTGCAGTTGTAAAATACATGTTGAACATAGATCTACCATAAAAGATCAATTGAAATCAAACTTAAACAGATCAGACAACATCATATATACTAGATCATATGAGAAAATATACTCTCAATTAAAAACATACTTAGTCGCGTAAATTATATTATGACCTCTTTTAATCGTGTAACATTATTCCACTAGAGATCTGATTGGCTAACTAATACCCCCTCAGTCTCAAATTGTAAGATACATTTTCTATTCATTTGATCAACATAAATCACTCTTAATCTTTTACTTTATATATCAAAAGTTTATGAAATTTGAATTATTTTTTGCAGGTTTTGTAGCGGTTTTAATGTAGTTTCTGAATATGTAAATTTTATTTTCTAAAACTAATTTGAGTGTTGACAGGGATCAATTTATTTTATCATCGATCAAACATCGTAAACCGTAAAGTGTCTTACAAATTAGAATCGAGAGAGTAAATTTTAATTTGTCCATAGTCCATACTCCATAGAGAGGACCTTTCCACCACAAATCTAACCCAATGAAATAAAATGGTGAGATGGTTGGAGATCATGTCCATGTTGACATAGTATCATGTAGATCTTGGGTTCAATTCCAAGTGACAACATTTCTTGTTTTGCAATGGAGAGCATATCTTCAACTCATTAGGTTGGGAGGTGAAAATAAGTTCATTAATTATGGGTTTGAGGTGTTTATGTAATTGATTTTGACAAAAAATCTTATTCTCATTATATTTATTTTTGTCTTAGAGATTTATGTTGTAACATATGTTATTTTACACATGAAAATAAGTTTTATTAAATATACACTACATTTGTTCTTAAGTAAATGCAACGGTTTACTTGTCACATTTGTTGATGCACAACTTTGATCAGTAATATACTCCATATATTATTCTCTATTAGTAAAAAAATAAAAATAAAAATAAGATTTTGAAAATTTACAATTAGACAAGTTGAACAATATTTTAAAAAAAGTTATTAATTCATTAAAAAATAAAGTGTAATCAAAATATAATATATGAATAGTGTAAAATTCAACAGGTTGCATTTATTTAAGAACATAAGTAATTATTTAAAGGAATACTATATTTTAACACTTCAATTAAATTTGGCCCCTGCTGAATGCCAATGCTAGATCCGCCCCTGGTTATGGATGGCCGAACAGGAAAATGTAAGGCCTCAAGATTGGTGAAAAATGGACCCTCCCTCAAAGCCTATTAACTTTTTGATTTCGGATGGTCCATATTGATCGAGCACCCTACCCGACTTTGGTGTCAGGTAGAGGCGCCGGATCCTATAATTACTTACATGCAATTCACATTCTATATTTTTTGATTGATTTTCATCTTAAATCATATTAATTCAGATCAGATCTAAACAGACAAGACATAAACAACTAGATATTCAGACTAGACGTAGACAAGACAATACTATAAAGTACGCATATAACACACCTAGCTTTTATTGTATTATTAAGACCAAAATAAACTTGAGTCGCAATAGCTACACTATAGACACACCATAAAATTTGATTCTAATGGAATTCATGTTTTTGTGATTCTTAAAGAATTGTTCATTTATGGTGCAAACGTTATTCATACATGCCATAATTACCTCCACACTCATAAACTAAATGCAAAATGATTAAATTACAGATCAATATTTATTGAACTTCCCTTTTTAATTTAATGGATAATTATTGAAGCTGATATACAGGTTTGGTAAGTGTGCGACTGTGCGTATTCATTATATTGATGAATAAAATATTTATTGAATAATTACATTTAGATGTTGGCATGGTCGGTTCTTTGGTTTCTTAAACGTAAGACCAAAGAAATAATGACTAAATTAAATGGTTTAAGCGCTCTGGTTAAGATATTATAATGGCAAATTATCAATTACGATAGTATTTATTTTAGTTTTTCTAAAGTTCATGCCAAATTCAATTTCAATACGGGTATGTAATTAGAAGCTCGAAGCCCAACTTTTCGAGTTTCGACTTTTCAGCCACTCTTTTTTATATCAAAACATTACATTTTTAGTTTAACATATTAAATGTTGTAATAATCAAAATATATTTTAAGTATGACTTTGTAAAAGTTTAAGAATCCGATTAATATAGAGCTTGTTTGGTAAGAGATCGATTGAAAATCGACTGGATTGAATGATTATTTTAAAATTTATGAAGTTATGACTGAAGTCACAAGATTTATGTAAAAAAATATTTAAAATATATTTCATTAATTAAATAAATAAAAAATTATATGAATACAGTAAATATATTTCATTAGTTATATGAATACATTAAATAATTAACTAATGAAAAAATATATTTCATGAGTTAAAATAGTCTTCTACAATAACTTCAGTCATTACAATAAGAAAAGCAACTTCAACCTTTCTTTTCTTATTATCACACAATTCAGCGCGAAAAATCAAAAGTTACGTGTTAGACGAAAAAATTAACAAGTAAGAATCCTCAAACAAGCTCTTAATTATTTTAGTCCTAATTTAAATAAATCCTAGTAATCTATAATGGACTTTAAAAGGTAAAAGTGATTTTTTTATTTCAAAGTGATTTTATATTTGGAAGTATTTAAAGTTGAGAGGAAAGTATGAATTGAAATGCATTCCCTCCACAATATTCGATAAAGCTCTTCTGTAGTGGGGCCTTACTCGAATACACTACCCATGAGAAAAACATCACACAACGGTCAACTACACGCCTCACTCTTCAGTCTTCACTTCCTATCCCTACCACTTTTCTGTCTTCTTCTTCTCCACTTCCTTTGTTTTTCTCCTTCTGTTAACTACGTTTAGTTGACTCTTTCTTAGTGATTTGGTCACTACTAAACTACCCACTCACGGCTTTCTTGTGTTCTCCCTCTTTGACTTCTCTGCTTCTCGTTTGGTAGGATCTTGCTTAGGGTTTTGTTCCAATAATGGATGTTCTTGTAGCTGTTTCTGACCCCACTGGAGCTCAGACGGAAAATGGGCATGTCTCAGATCCCAAGATAGGTCCCGACATTGGCCCGGTTCCACCGCAGGAGCGAAAGACGCCGGTTTCTCGGGCGGAAATCGACACCTCCGCTCCCTTTGAGTCCGTGAAGGAGGCCGCCACTCGGTTCGGCGGAATTGGCTTCTGGAGACCCGCCTCCCTGAAACCCTCTGCTCTCTCCCCATTTCAGGTCTCTCTCAAATTTAATTTGTCTTCCTATCTGTAATTATTGTTCATTTGTAACTTAAACTAAGGCACCATTTGACAGGGGAACTTAATTTTTTTCGATTTTTCTAGTGTAATTTTCTCATTTCTCATATTTAGAGTTTAAAGCACCCTTAAAGTCTAGTATAATTGTTTTTCAGCTCGGGGCATTCTAAATTTCTTGATCCACCCCTGCATTTGGTAGCATTAACCTGCTTGTGTTGGAAACATTTTTATAAGAGCTTATTCTGTTTATGTAGAAAACAATCCCAATTTCACAATTACTAGAATAAGTATCAGTTTCTGTCAAAAAAAAAGAATAAATTTCGGTTGATTTACTTTTTTGACTTTACCAAACGCTTTTACTTTAAAAGATTTCCATAGATTTGTCTTTTCAATCGAATAGCCCTTAAAATACAGATTCTTATAACATAGATAAAATTTTACATGATGAGGAGTCTCAGGTTTTATATCTCTGTCTCAATGTTTATATATCTCTCAAGTCTCAAGTAGAAAATTTTCTTTAGTGTGCCTAACACATTTATGTAGGGAGATGAGAAGTTTGAAATTTCCAAAGTGGAGGAGCAAGCTGCCCAATTGGAAAGGGATCTTATTGAGAAAGAAACAGAAACATTGAATGTCCTGAAAGAATTAGAAAGCACCAAGGCTGTTGTGGAAGAGCTAAAATTGAAGTTGCAGGAGGCATCTAAGCAGGAAAGCAATGAAAATGATGGTGTTGCAGTCTTAAAGGAGTTGGAACAAGCCAAATGCAACTTAAGCAGGACGGTGGATGACCTTGCTGTTACCCGAACCATGATTGAATCATACAAAAAGAAAATCGAGAAAGAGAGAGCCTTTCTTGAAAAGACCGGGCGAAGGCTATCCTCAAACTCATCAAAAGTTTCATCTCTGAAGGAAGAGCTAAACCAAACCAAGCAGAAACTGAAGGTTTGGTGCCAAGAAAATGCAAATGAATCTGACTTTGAGAGAGCTATTCTAGAGACCGAAGAAACGAAGGGAAAGATTAAGACTGCCGAGTTGAAGTTGGTTGCTGCCAAAAAGATGAAAGCTTTGGCTCTAGCAGAAATCAAAGCTCTATCGTCGAAAAGAGAGATCTTAAAGAAAATGGAAGAAGCCATTGAAGAATTGAGAGTCAGCAAGAAGGGACTAGAGGAAGCATTGAGTAAAGTGGAGGCAGCACATAGGAGTAAGCTTGAGGCAGAAGAAGCCTTACGCGTGTGGAGGTACGAGCAATCCCAAGGAAGACATTGTACTACTACTCTACATAAGAACTCTTCGGCACCGCCACTTCAGCATCTCAAAGAATTGGAGAAGTCGTCAACAACACTTTCTATAGGGAAAATACTGAAGATGAAGCTGCAAGTGACAGAAGAAGTGGACAAGGAGAAAGTGTCATTTGGGCAAATGCTGCTCAGTAGTGCTAATTTAAAAGACACCAATAAGGAGAACAATGCTCCTCTAAATAATAGGCAATCCCACGCTAAGAGAAAGATTGGTGGCCTTGGCCTGTCACGGATCTCTCTTCTTGTGACAAAACAAAGTAAGGAGAAGATAAAGAAGAAGAGGATGAACAAGAAGAGGATGAAGCAGACTGTAGCGGTTTTCAGGTGCCGCAATGTGTAAAACAGGAACACCTCTGATTGAACTAATTCTATTAATTAATTATTTAATGTGTTTGATTATGTTCTAAGTCTGCAGGTATGATCATGATCTTGATGCCTTCCTGAACTTGTATGTACCAGTGTAGCTAATGAGTTTCTGAACTTTTGTTGTATGGCTAATATATTCCACCAGTAATCTTGTGCACTCTTCAATTAATTCGGACCTACGCTATATGACTATTATGGACTCAAATCAGTACATAAGTATAACATAAAAATTTAAACACTTTTGAGTAATTTGAACACTTTTGAGTAATTTGGTAAGTGATAAAAAGAATTATGTATCTAGGTTGAGTGTTGATTTTGACAAAACTTTGTTTAACAATTTGGCAAGGGAGCCATATTGGATGGGATGGGAATGAATGAAGAAATACTCGACCGTCCATTAACGGCTGAGGAACTTTTGGTCTTCCCAGAATTTGTGTGGTTTGTTAATGTATATAAAATTAAACCATGGATTATACCAAGCCATCATCATTCTCAACTCTAATTTTGACACAATTTTGTATCTGATTCCAAAAGTCTCCAATTTGTTTAGGCAACGTATGTACTTCGCTAACTAAGTATCGAACATCAGAAGTAAAATATTATGCTGCTAAAAATCCCCTAACTCTCTGGATTCTTATTTTTTGGATTTTCTAAGGTTTTCTTCAATGGATCATAGATTTGAGTTTTTTCTAAGTACTCTTAATTGAGTTATAATTCGTCCATAACTTTTAGGTAATATTGAGCTTACATCTAGTCACATTGTGCATTTTTTGCACAGATGTCCAATATCGACTATTGTCTTATAACTCTCTTGATGAAATCAATAGCAAGGCTCCACCATAATATCCCAAAAATGATTACCACACATATAACACGCCAAATTAGGGTAATACTTATTTGAAGGCCTGCTAAGAACTAGAAAGTTTTAAACATAGCATGTTAATAACTTAAAAGGGTTAAAAGGAAGAAATTGTTCCAGGGATAAATAAAGAAGAGCCACTTTCAACTCTTTCGAACTCATCTATGATTAAAAATTGTTGGATGATAGACCCAGTTTCTAAACAATCAAACAATCATAGCAGATAAAGAAGAATCGGATAGAAAGATATGAGATGAAAACCAAATCTGATATACCGTGATAATGGCTGCTGCTCTCCCTCAAGAAGGAGAGCAACGGAAACCTACTCTCTATCTCGCCTCTATGCTCTCAAGCCTCCAAAAATCTTAGGGTTCCCATAAGGTAGCCTCCTTTTATAGGAGAGGATGACTAACTTATGAGTTACAAAGAAGCTAATGGGCTGATATATATTTGTGGCTCATATTACACGTTTAACTAATAACTACACAAATAAAAAGATATTTAATTAGATTGGACACCATAAAATATTCCTAACATTGGACACAAATTTTCTTAAGTGTGATAGTTGAAGCACCTAATTTATGCAGTACGTAGCTCTTTGAAAAATTAAATGTTCTCCAGTTTCAAGAAAAAGTCTAAATAGACAACAACGACATCATCCAAGTCTAAATCCCAAAAGATTGTGAGGTCGACGTGTCTTAAATAGAAAAAGTCCAAACAGACATGCCTTATAAAATGTTTCCATTCATTTCTTGATTAGAATTGCCTAATAACTTACCGAAACACAGCAAGTTGAGTTCTATATGAAATGTTGTTCTTTCATAATCAGAAGTAAACTTAATGGAACTTACCACTTTTGCAAGATGAATTTTCTTATCTTTGAACTGGTTTTCAAGTCTCTGATAGAACTATGTCATGCACCTTTATTAATAGAACTGATTTAAGTTCTTTGTTAGCTTGGTACATAATGTGGTGTGAATTTCTTATGAACAATTTAAGTCTATTTAAAGTGGTCTATGTAAAAAGGGTTTCAATGGTATATTATTGGTCCAAATGGTCGATTTTTTTAGGCATCAAATTAAATTTATTTGACGATTCCCATTATAAAACCAATGATTTAGTTTAAAATAGTTTGATGGTTGATGTCGTTTTTCTAGGTTGGTGGATATAAGGTGGTTTATGATCGTTTAACATTCGCCATAGTTAGAGGAGTTGGCCCATCAAGTTCCACAGTTTCAACCGCATAGAGCTTTTGCCTTGCTTGAGATCACCACTTAGTTCATGATCTGTGGAATCCTTTTCTCAAAATAGGAGTACAAACGTTTACGAATTCTAAATTAAGACCGTCATATTTGTGTTCTATGATCGATATTAATAATAGTTAACATTAGATTTAGTAGCCCGCTACGCCTCCTATTCCATTTATTAGCTTGATTTATTTTACATGTCTGAATTGAATTCTTACTCAGCTTTATTACTTCTGTCATGTGAGCTGTGTGTCAGTGTCTGCACTGAATGATAGAAGTGTCCTTGGTATGTGCTAATAAGACCAATTGTGTGAGACAGTGTTTAACGAACCGAGCTTTTATTGAACTATCCGAGTTCGAGTTCAGTTTCGAACCTAACGTGCCGAGCTTAACGAACTTTCGAACTCAAACCCGAGCAGAGTTTTAAGTTCGAAAAATTATTCGAGTCGAGCTCGAACATAGTAGTATTCGGCTCGGTTCGCGCTCGAACCTATCGAACACCCTGAAATTATAAATATAATTTATATATATCTCAAAATTTAAATATAATTAGTATGAATTTATGAATTTAAATATGATTATTCAAGAATCGAATACTTGCCAAATAATTCGAGCACACGCCTATTAACGAGTATCACCTAAAATTTTAAATTCGAGCATATTTATCGAGCTTATCGAGCGCTCGGTTCAAACATCAAACGCCTATCGAGCCGAATACGAGCCTCATTTGTAAAGCTTGCCGAGCTTCGAGCTCGAACCCGAACGCCCCTATTATCGAATCGAACCGAGCTCGAGCTCTGGGTGTTCGTGCTGCTCGTTAACAACCTTAAGTGTGAGAGAAAACCTAGACCGTAGTCTTCTTCCTGGTCAGACTTATGGCTTCTTTGTGAACAAAAATTTCAAAGTGCACGTCACGTTCTCTTTATTGAGCACATAGCTCATAGAACGGAAAAAGGGGCAAATAAGCCCACACACTAACCAAAAAAGGTCAAATAATTCCTTATATAGGAGGCTATGTCCGGCCGTCGTCATTTTGGGCAGTTTCCGGTGGAATTTTTTTATGCAATTTTTTGAACATATTATTCATTAAGTCTAGTTTACTCATACCAAATTTCAGCTAAAACTTCAATCGAGAAGGCATTCAAATGAATTCTTGAAGATAACTGCGCAGTTAAAAGCGCATTTATCTTCAAGAATTTATTTCAATGCATTCCCAATTGAATTGTTAGCTGAAATTTGATATGAGTAAACTAGACTTAATGAATAAGATTCTCAAAAAATTTCATTAAAACATTCCACCTGGAATTACCCGAAATGGCAACGTCCGGGCAGAGCCTTCTATATAAGGACTTATTTGACCTTTTTTGGTTAGTACGTGGGCTTATTTGCCCATTTTTCTTCCTAGAAATGATTCATATATATCGTGGATATTATATGCCTCTTCCCCAAATATTAGGTTTAATAATAAATTAAAATATTATACGGCTCCTATGCTCTGTTGTCAGTTGTACCTACTAATAGAGTAATTAATGAATATTAATTAGGTTTCCATATTTCTTAGGTTTCCTATTGTATTCAGGACACTCTTTATTATATATATGACATCTAGGGCTCTTAATTGGGTAAGTCATTCCATTATTTTCACACCTACATGGCTACGTGCTCGCTAATGAGCACATTACGGGCTCAATAAATGGCTTCGAGCAGGGTGATGGGGGGATAAATGGTGAGTCAGAAATGGTGAACAGACGGTTGCTCGTGTGGAGCATAATGGCAAAATGAGAACTGGCGAGGTTGAGGAGTCAGATTCGGCTGTGGTTTTGACGCAAGGGGTGGCTTCTCATCGTCTGAAAGTGGGAATTACTGCTAGCCGCTTGGGGGAGCCAAAGAGAAGGCACATGTCAGAGAACCAAGAACATGAAGATCCAATTGAAGGCTCTATGATTGTGGACGAGCCAAAAACGTACGTGGAAAAGGTGGGCTTGGGCTCTAGGCTCCCTAGGTCTTCTCCGAAAGTTTATTTATTTATGTTCTTTTCTTTTGTTGTTATTCGTTCGTATAAGGATTTAGTTTTCTGTTTTTGTCGGATTGTTTTTTCCCGGGGTTACTTTTATTGGGTCTTTATCTTGGTTATGGGTCAAGCTCAGAAGAGGATAAGCGACAAGGTTACTAGATCAATCATGATTGACTTACATGTTCCCATTTGTGAATTAGCGAGTCATATCACTCCTGAGTGAGTGAGGTGATTTACTCTATGTGTTTTGGTCTTATCGGTTTATTTCTAGGGTCTGATCTTGATGTTACCTAGTTAGATCATGATTTTATAATATACGCCCTTTTATTTCAAAAAGAAAAAGAATGCATATACTTCGACAGTATAAAGTTAAGAAATTTATAACGACATGGGTATAGTAGTATAAAGTTAAGAAATTTATACATAGTACATGTTAGCTATATTTTATAACGACAGATTTAGTTCTATAGTAGAGACGTGTTCGCATTGGGCATTTATATCATCAATTCATTTTCTACGCTAATGGTAATTTTTAAATTCCCACGTTAAAATTATGTAAATATCAAAATAAATAAAGTTAAATTAGTTTTTGGCCCAAATTAGCTAAGTTTGGTGAAAAGGCAATTTAGTTATTTATGTACTCGGAGTATTTTTTTCGTTATTTTATTAATATAATATTTTTGAAATACTTTTTCTTTTTTCACCATAATCAACTGATCATATTCAATCATTTTATAGAAAACTTCATCGACTTTCAACATATTTATTCCATTTTGAATCAATTGTAACATCATATATATACTAATTTATTTATCTATTTGCATATACACATGTATATTTATATTTACTAATTTTTTTATACATATTTATAGTTTATTATGTTTAAATTTAAATTTTTAGTTCTTAACAACTAGCACAACCAATATAATATCTATTTTTGTACACAAAGATAATACTTTGTGCTTAAATTTTAAATTTTAGATATAATTTCTCATTATTATTTTTGTGTAAGTATTTTTTTTTGTATG